ATACCCAATGTTAACTTTACATTCCAAAGATAAAGTTTTTCTTTTCTTGTTTGATGCAGAAGAATTAGTTCTACTTCATTTGGATGACATAGTAGAGTCTTTCAAGTCTCCGTAGATATAACAAACACAGAAATAAATAACACAAAATAAATTGTAGCTATGTGTGGATTCCGCGCGACACATCCGAACATGTAAGCTGAACAATAGTATGGGGGGAGTGAGTAATCAAGGGTTGCGTGGCTTTCAAACAAAAGACGAATCGATGAGATTTGAAAATAGCGTAACTCCGGGTTCGCGTAAGTCAGGGTAGCGTAAGTCGGGGTATTACTGTATTTAATATTATCTCCAAATGCATTTCACCCTGGTGAAATTAAATAAACTTTGATAATGTTAAAAGAAAGTTGTATTCTATAGTTTTTAATTAAGTCTTCCTGGAAAGTGGTAAAAGATTGAGACAGAAAGATTTCTCATGGTTGGTTTTTTGAAAGGTTTTTAGTTTTTAAATTTTTATCTTTTTATTTTTTTTAAATATACAACTTTTTTACCTTAAATTAGTAACAATTTTTCCACTTAGATGCAAGCTTTACATACAGTTGATGAACTTTATATTGATTAATATGTCTTGTTATTAGAAGACTAATTTATAAAAACAATCAAATCAATTCTTATAATTAATTTATAGTAATAAAAAGGAATAAACAAAACAGAAGAGTTACTTTTATAATTCAGTTGTAGGAGAGCCTGATGTTTTCTAGTGTTTGATTTAATGCTATCTACCAACTATATTAATGTACTGAAACAAAACAAAATGTAGTAGTCAAAATAATCAACTGTAAAAATTAGCACTAGGCCTAGAATAAGTGTACAAGTGCTACTTCAAGAAAAAATGGTATTTTATTAAAATTAATGATCAGAAAAAACGTCTAATGCAAAAATTAGTTATATTTACAAAAGCATTAAATTAAAATTAACAACAATGTAGAAATTTTTTCATCTAGTAAATGATTAATATCAGAAAACTAGTTTTGAATGTACAGCTTCCAACTCCCTTGACGATTCATTTCTTGACCTGCAAGGGAGAAATGACAGTACAGGCATAATTCCATATTAATACTGAAAAGAAAGCTAGCAATCTTTTCAAAAAACAAGTCAGATGGGTTCTTTCCTTACTAACACATGAAAAGGATAATTTTTTAGGTCTTTTACAGCTTTCTTATACAATTAATGATTTACTTTCTATTGCCTTTCTTCTTCCCACTCCATCTATTAATTTAAGCATTCTAATACCAACAAAATTTTTTTGTTGCCTTTTCCAAAAACACTGCAATCATGTGAGGAGTAAGAAATTTCTAAAAATATGTCACTAGGAAACACTTTCCAATTGACTGTATTAAATCAGAAATAATCACCAGTGATCCCCAAGACATACTTTCATTACCAATTTATTCTGTTTTGTTGTAAATGCTACAATGTATTTTGTGAATACAAAATATAAAATATCACAAGTTTCTGGTAACTTTATGATATCAAAATGCTTGATGTAAGCAATTTTTTTAATTAAAATTATAAGATAGTAATTTTATTATGTAACAGTATATCATTTTGTTGTTGTGAGAACAAATGAAATATGTCTAACAATAGAAAAACTGCATTATGTTAAATGGAATTGATCCCTAAGATATACAATTATAATAATACAAACTTACTGCATAATGCATCTGTAAAAGTAATCTTCTCTTCTTGTGAACTCCCAATGGTGCAGGTCTTCCATCTAATTATTAGTGATAATTTGAAATAAATAGTTAAAATTCTTTTATCAAATTAATTTTTTAAATAAAGTAAAACAAACCTGCATATGACCAATCTGGAAGTTCAACCATTGGATCAGGTTCTAGTGATGTCCTAGTTAGACCATGTCTAAATAAATGAAAAAGTTAAAATTTTGTTTAAATAAAATAAAATGTAAAAATATATAAAGAAACATATTGATAGCAGTATGTTTTGAACTAATAAGATATCTTAAAATTATTTTCTTGTTAAAATCAGAAATGTAGCAATCAGATAATAATTTGAAAAAATTTATAATGAATTGAAATATGAATAATTACAACATAAAACTAGCCACTGTAGTTAATCTACTAAATTAAGCAATGCACCTTTAACAATAACCAAGAATAAATAAAACTAGTGTTTTCAACAGAGTTAATGAGCCATCCTCAAGCATGTAAAAGCAGTTTGTCTGTTGGTACCCAAAAATCATTAATCAGGCCAAAAGCATTAGCATTTCTCCAATCTCAAAATGTGTGTTGCTTAATTCAGTAAATGAAAAATTATTAAAGAAAGAAAGAAAACTTAAGTAAATTTTATTAAAATTAGAATGTTTGTTTGAAAATCAATAAAAACAAAATTGCCCTGTATCTTATACGCAAAGTTGCAATCTCCCATAAGCTAATGAGTTTCCCAAACAAACTTCATTAGACTATATTGTAACTTCTATCTAGCCTAACTCTTAAATCAAAATGTTATCATTTCATTAAACATTATTATTATTATTAACTTTATTGTAAATATTAGTTAGATAATGTAAGATGATTATCAATCAATTGTTCATCATATGCATCAAATTCTTCAAAGTTAAGCAGTAACCTTTTCTCAACACTTATATGTATTACTATATATTTATGTCATACCTTGCCACAGTTATCCTATTATGTGGAATGATCTAAATACACTAAAAACTTTTTCCTAAATACTCTTTGAAACAGAGGTGTGTTTTATATGCTGTAAAATAAGATACAAAAAATTATTCAACAATTTTTATATGCTGTATAATTATTTTGATAGTTTTACATAATTATTTTTTGTTTGCTATTTGCATTTTATTATAATAATGGTTGTTATAAATGAAAACTTTTATTAAAGTTCAAAATTTCATGAAAAAGACATATTTTCAAATTCAAACAATATTCTTAAATACAGTAAAATCTGTATTATACTGACAAAATTTCCAGTCCAAATGTCATATGTAAAAATTAACACGCATTAATTTTAAAATGCTTTTTATATGTAATTAAATTAATAGGTTCTCCCCTCCTCTAAATCCAAGAGTTACCACTCTTAACTTCATGCCACATGGAAGTCTGAATATATCATTATCCAAAGATGAATAAATAGAAATTGTTTTTTTTTTTGTCAAATTTAGATTTTGTTTTCTTTTTAATAACATTATTTATTTGTTTAGTTAAATACAATTAAAGTATATTTTCCAAAATATGTTTATTTAATTCAATTTAGAAAGTATACTTGCTTTTTAGTGTCAAAACTATATTAGTGAGGTTGTGGCCAAAGTTTTCAACGTGAAAACGTGTATGTTGGATGTTCATCACCACCTTCCTATAAGCCTAGAAGCTTGACAATGATGTTTGGAACGTCAAGCATAATTCTATTGATGTTCCAAATGGCATTGTCAAACTTCTAGACTTATAGGAGGTGGTGCTGAACATCCAACGTACATGTTTTCACGTTGAAACTTCACCTGCAACCTTATTATTAAGTAGTTATACAACAGTAATATGTAGTAGTTAACAGTAATATGTAGAGAAAACATTTCTGTGAAATGAAATTTCTTATACACACTTAATTTTAATTACAAAAACACATCTACATAAGTAAAAACAGATAAACTAACTAATTTATTGACTTTTATTAACATATATATTTGGAAAACCTACTTTTTTTAAATAACAGACTTAGTTTTAATGGACACCAACTTGCCAAAATTAGTCCCATTAAATTGAGGTTTTACTATACTAAATTTTTATATTCAACTGAAACTGTTGAATATAAAACCTTTGTCATGATTATAATTTAAAAATTTTCAAAACTAAAGAACTTTTGACTATTTACAATCTTTCAAGTATCAAAATAGTAATAATATAGCCTACAGATCATCATGAGACAATAATTTTATAAATTTCTAAATTTTTATATTTTATAAATTTTCAAATTTATAAAGAAAAATGATTGATTAAGTTAGACCATGTCTAAATAAATGAAAAAGTTAAAATTTTGTTTAAATAAAATAAAATGTAAAAATATATAAAGAAACATATTGATAGCAGTATGTTTTGAACTAATAAGATATCTTAAAATTATTTTCTTGTTAAAATCAGAAATGTAGCAATCAGATAATAATTTGAAAAAATTTATAATGAATTGAAATGTGAATAATTACAACATAAAACTAGCCACTGTAGTTAATCTACTAAATTAAGCAATGCACCTTTAACAATAACCAAGAATAAATAAAACTAGTGTTTTCAACAGAGTTAATGAGCCATCCTCAAGCATGTAAAAGCAGTTTGTCTGTTGGTACCCAAAAATCATTAATCAGGCCAAAAGCATTAGCATTTCTCCAATCTCAAAATGTGTGTTGCTTAATTCAGTAAATGAAAAATTATTAAAGAAAGAAAGAAAACTTAAGTAAATTTTATTAAAATTAGAATGTTTGTTTGAAAATCAATAAAAACAAAATTGCCCTGTATCTTATACGCAAAGTTGCAATCTCCCATAAGCTAATGAGTTTCCCAAACAAACTTCATTAGACTATATTGTAACTTCTATCTAGCCTAACTCTTAAATCAAAATGTTATCATTTCATTAAACATTATTATTATTAACTTTATTGTAAATATTAGTTAGATAATGTAAGATGATTATCAATCAATTGTTCATCATATGCATCAAATTCTTCATAGTTAAGCAGTAACCTTTTCTCAACACTTATATGTATTACTATATATTTATGTCATACCTTGCCACAGTTATCCTATTATGTGGAATGATCTAAATACATTAAAAACTTTTTCCTAAATACTCTTTGAAACAGAGGTGTGTTTTATATGCTGTAAAATAAGATACAAAAAATTATTCAACAATTTTTATATGCTGTATAATTATTTTGATAGTTTTACATAATTATTTTTTGTTTGCTATTTGCATTTTATTATAATAATGGTTGTTATAAATGAAAACTTTTATTAAAGTTCAAAATTTCATGAAAAAGACATATTTTCAAATTCAAACAATATTCTTAAATACAGTAAAATCTGTATTATACTGACAAAATTTCCAGTCCAAATGTCATATGTGAAAATTAACACGCATTAATTTTAAAATGCTTTTTATATGTAATTAAATTAATAGGTTCTCCCCTCCTCTAAATCCAAGAGTTACCACTCTTAACTTCATGCCACATGGAAGTCTGAATATATCATTATCCAAAGATGAATAAATAGAAATTGTTTTTTTTTTTGTCAAATTTAGATTTTGTTTTCTTTTTAATAACATTATTTATTTGTTTAGTTAAATACAATTAAAGTATATTTTCCAAAATATGTTTATTTAATTCAATTTAGAAAGTATACTTGCTTTTTAGTGTCAAAACTATATTAGTGAGGTTGTGGCCAAAGTTTTCAACGTGAAAACGTGTATGTTGGATGTTCATCACCACCTTCCTATAAGCCTAGAAGCTTGACAATGATGTTTGGAACGTCAAGCATAATTCTATTGATGTTCCAAATGGCATTGTCAAACTTCTAGACTTATAGGAGGTGGTGCTGAACATCCAACGTACATGTTTTCACGTTGAAACTTCACCTGCAACCTCATTATTAAGTAGTTATACAACAGTAATATGTAGTAGTTAACAGTAATATGTAGAGGAAACATTTCTGTGAAATGAAATTTCTTATACACACTTAATTTTAATTACAAAAACACATCTACATAAGTAAAAACAGATAAACTAACTAATTTATTGACTTTTATTAACATATATATTTGGAAAACCTACTTTTTTTAAATAACAGACTTAGTTTTAATGGACACCAACTTGCCAAAATTAGTCCCATTAAATTGAGGTTTTACTATACTAAATTTTTATATTCAACTGAAACTGTTGAATATAAAACCTTTGTCATGATTATAATTTAAAAATTTTCAAAACTAAAGAACTTTTGACTATTTACAATCTTTCAAGTATCAAAATAGTAATAATATAGCCTACAGATCATCATGAGACAATAATTTTATAAATTTCTAAATTTTTATATTTTATAAATTTTCAAATTTATAAAGAAAAATGATTGATTATAAAATAAATTTTTTTTAGTATAATGGTATATAAAAAATATGAGAATTTTCTTTTCCTTTAATTAATTCTCAAATTTCATTTCATGTTATTAACATAAAATATATTGTATAAACTTTCAAAACTTTATTTTATATTTTAATTAAAAATGATGAGCCTACAGATTATTGGATAATAATTAAAATTCACTTTAGTAATGATTTTAAGAGTACAGAAAAACTTCTATGTAAGAACAATAAAAACAATTTTAGACAAAATTCTATCATTTGCTAAATTATTTTAGAATAGTAAAAATATAAATTCTTATTAAGAAGACGACTTATTCTCTAAAGAACTAATATTATATTTATGTAAAAAGAGAGTTGGAGAAAAGAATGAAAGGAAATAACTGGATGATTTAAATAAGGATGCTGTTTGGGCCAGCAGACGATATTTATTTATTTTTATTTTTCTTTAAATAAAAGTGATCGAGAGGGGGTGCTCCTGTTTTTGCACGCCATTTTACAAAAATGGTTGTTAGTGTTTGTTAGGCCAATGTGCTTTTGCTATGAGGCTGATCTTGGTTTTGTGTTATTTCAGGGCTGTACCCTGCATCTATGTATTACTTTGTTCAACTTTATTTTGTGAATCAACAAAATAAATTCATCAGCTATTGCTGGAGGTGTTTGTTGCGTTAATTTATAGTCTGCTTTGTTATTAGATGCACAACAGATGCTTTATGGTTCTTTTAATCTATTATATAGAATATAGATGATTGGGTGAGCAAAACACCCAACCAACCATCAATGTGCAGTCTGTCTGTTCTAAATATGTTGACCTCATTGTGAGCTTGGACAAATGCATAACGACTATGAAAAGAGATAAACTTAGTGTCTACTGGATGAAAAGAGTTAAAAAAAAACACATACATATAAAATTATTACAAATCAAATGAGATTACAAGCTATTTGTTTTCATGTTATTGATGAATCATATACTAGTGCCGCATCAGACCATTACCAAAATAATATTTATATAATATATGTTATCTGAGTGTTAACTCTTTGATGAATACATTCATGTAGAGCCAACCACATGATACATGTGGTTGGCTCTACAGAGTAAACACTCATATATATATATACTGCTGACCAAGTAAAATGCAACACCACGTAGGACTCTAGATATTGCAGGTGTTGCATTTTACTTGGCCAGCAGTGTATATATATATATGTTCCTCTTAAGTTTGTCTCATTGTAGTATACTTGTATATTTATGGACAAATGTGAAACTTCACAGATAGCTAGACACATATATTGACAGGTCAAAAAAATTTTTTCCACACAGTTTTGTGAGTTTTTTTTGAGATTTAGCATAGGATTTTTTAGCATCAAGACAAATATGGCAGGTAATCATTCATATTTACTGTCTTATTCTAAATTGTTAGAGTTATTCAACAGAACTGAATCAAAAAAAAAAATATTACCTGTTTTATTAGAAAATATGAATTAGAAGACAAAATATCAATTTTTATTGTAAATGTTACTTTTTTTACTCAAATGTAAACACACCCTGGGAGGAACAGAGCCACTGGTAAATGAACTCATTAAAGGGTTAAATCTAGTTGACTCTATTCTAATAATGTATGTGTATTTAAAGAGAGGAAGGTTTGGATTTATGATCTAAAATCTGTATATTTAGTGAGTGTTTCTTAAAATAAATTTTTGTGTGTTAGTTAATGCTGTATCTATAGTTTCACTAGACGTAATTGTTATGTTTATGTTTTTGTTAGTATTATCATGTGTACATTTTTATTAGTAATTATTATTGAGGTATTGTCAATGAGTGACTGATATTCAGTTGAGATGGTTAAGGCATCAACATGCTACTCTGAGGAACTCATGATCCAGATGAGCAACTTTAGGAATTTTTCATAGACATGTTCTGGCTATGTCAGGTCATATCCTTCACAAACTGGCCAGCCCCATTGCGGGCCTGGTTGAACCTAAGATGGAGATAGAAAAAGGCTTCTTTTCTCCAATGTGCATCATAAGTTAGACAAAACTGAAAAAGTAAACAAGCCATTTTTCTGTGATATTTGCCCAGTTTTACAACTTATTTATTCAAAAATTTAATAAAACTTGGCACTATAATATATTAATTAATCTACTAAATTCAAGTAATCAAAAATTACGGTTACTCAAATTAAAATATTTTGTGAATTAATTAATTTATGATACTGTTGGAAGTATTTAATTTAGTAAGCGAAAACCAGAGCGAACTTGAGGGGTGCTGTTGTCAATTGGCACCAGAGTTAAAATACGAGGTGTACAGTACATTAATTAAGCAGAGCTAAGTCTCCTTGTATTCTTTTTTTTTTTTAATAACTTACAAGTAAATGTTGTTAGATTAAAACTGAAAGTGTCTTTACTTGTGTGAAACATGGCATAACGTTAACAGATACTAACTTTTGTTAAATTTCTATGTACATTTTTTGCAAAAAAGGGGAAAGTATAGCTTACATTTTAGTGGGACAAGAAGCCCATGAAAGAAGATAATTGAAGCAGTAGTCAAAGGAACACCAATAACAGAATCTAGTAAAATGTTTTCAGTGCCACTCTCAAGTTTATACCACCAATATGAAAATAAAAATAATATGGGTACTAATGCTTTTTTACCACAAAAATAGTTATGTGATAACTCTGTTAATCATCCTTCAATGTTTAGTAAAGATATGGGAAAATCATTTGCTAATATAATAAAATACTTAGGCAAAAGTGTAACACTTGATATCATATTGTGTTGGTGCAGTTTGTTTGTATGCTGCAAGTTACCTCTAAAGCTTCAAGTATGAACTTTTAAGGGTTTATTTTATATTATTCTACAATATTTATCTTTATCCTACATTAAAACCAAAATTATATTGTCTTCTATCATATTTCATGAAATTTGTTTACTTTCCTGTGCTTTATTACATTTACCCAAATTGCCCCAGTCAATTTAGGTATTTTTACATCAAGATGGTAAAATGAATAATGGCATAACATAAATAGTTTTCAATGTAGTACTATACATTCACCTTTTGTAGAATGGGGGTTATACATACAACAATTGTACTACACAATTCTTTTACTGCAAATAATTTTTGAAAAATTTCCATAGAACATTGAAATTATTTGCATAGCCCTACTTACTATATTCATTTTCACAAAAGTAGATAGCCAAAGGACTTTTAAAATATATTTATATAAATATATTTTCAAATGTAAGTTTTTGTTTTTATGACAATTTTAAGCTGAATATTGTAAATCAAACAGTCAAATTCTAGTCTAAACAATAATACTACTATTTTACATACCTGCTTTTTTATGAAAGTTATATTATACTGATTAATTTCTGTGATAGCTCAAAATTCATAGACAACTTTCATAAAAAAGCATGGAATAGACTCCCAGACAATACTAAATAATAACCTATCAGTAAAAATATCAAGGTAATATATACAAACATCACTAAACCCAATATATAATATAGCTACACACCAACCTAAGATGGCGCCTAACGCTTACCTCTAAAGCCAAATTGGTTACGTAATTCATTTAATAATTAGCCTTATACTAGCCCGATAGATTTTCAGCATTCGATTGGTGTGTAGCTATATCAAGGTAATTGAGTACAAAGAAGAATACAAATGGCTACATCATTCAAAATTCAAAAAATATAAATTTACTTATTTATTATAGAATACAAAAATAATTTTATTGTCTTTTATGAATATGTTAGTTAAAAATTAAGTATTCCCAATAGCCCTGATAGTTCTATCAGGGCTATGGGAATATTTAATTTTACTACAGTAATTGGAGTGATCACTTAACTGTAGTATAGTATACCAATATTTTTTGGCCCCATGAACAACCAGTTATTTGAAGTTCTACTGTATAAATATAAATCTATACTTAACCCTATATTAAAATTACAGTAGTTCTTCATTGTTATTTTTCAATGGGTATTCAATCAATTTCTCAAGTGTACAAAAATCTACTCACTGTTTTTTTTTCAAGTCCGGATCTTTAAATGGAGGAACTACTGTTCCTGACTTATAATAAAACCTTGCATTAGCAGTTCTCAAACCTAAATAAAATAAAATTTTTAAATTAAAGAATGCATTATTATTGATATTTAAATTTTGTAAGTTTTTAAAGATATATAAGATTATGTTTACAGATAACGAGAAATATTTCTTTGATTACAAATAATTTTATTTTCTACACAAAAATTTCTAATATGACTATTTTTTAAACATAAATTTCAATATAAATGCATTAATATTTTAGTATTATCAAAAACAAAAACTGAATGTTCTCAGAAAGTTGAAAGTTTTTTGAGAAATTTTTCATTTTATACATTTTCTAGTTAATACTGTATATTAATTTCAATCATTGTTTCAACTCGTAAAATATCATTAACAATCAAGATAATTTATTATTATTTTTTCTGAATATAATTTTAATACATAATCAAATTCAAAATATATAATTTTTTTAAAAGAACCACATCCCTACATGCAAGACAAGACCCGAAATTTGCCCACTTCCAGGCTGCAGGCAATCCAAAGTGGCGTGACTCCATTGAGACCACCACATTTAACTATTTAGCCCAAGCGATCACGATCATTTGCAGAGTACTCAATGTAACATAGTTTTAAGGGCATCGGTGTTCTCGCTTCAAGTGGGTGCTTTAGTATTCGCCGTCGCCAAAGTGCATGAACACACACAGAGCATCACGAAACACAGAAAATAGGCAGTAGTATCCACAACAGTAAAAACCGGCCTTCAAAGCCAAATGTTAGGCGATGGGTCACACATACGGGTCCGGGATCTATAACTCCAGAGTGGTAAGTCCCTCATTCAGTGTTCACATCTTAACAGATATACTGCAGCATATTTGTGCCTCGACCACATGGAAATTCACCATTTTCATTTCTTGGTCTACTATATGTTAACCCTCACTGTGAAAGGTTATATGCCACTGCTAGAGAGAGAACTTTTATTCTGTTTATTACCTGTTTCTGTACACTCAATCACTTAATATTTTTCTGTTTATAGCGTTCTTTATATGAGTGGCCACTCAAATATTCTATGTTTTGGACATGTCTACCACGTATGTCTCGATTATAAATAAAATTGAGAGAGAAAACGTTGCGGTATGGCTTATAAACAATTACTTTGTGGGGAAATATCTAGATTTAATTTAAATTTATATTATTAATATCATATTTTAACTCACTGCTTTGTAATATCGATCTTATTTTCACCAACATCGGTCGTAAAATGAAAATATCGTCAAGAAAACCGAAGCAAAATTCAATTTCTATTGCGAGACTGCCGCCATTTTGTACGATACGCCCTCTACCCAAATCTCTTATTTATTAAAAATAAAAAAATTATGTTTTTATTTTCGTAAATGTTATTTATTTTCTTAAAATTTGCGAAAATAAAAAGGATAAAAATTGTTGAATATTTTCTTTTATTTATTTCAAACTTTTAAAAAAGATATAGATCTTAGTGTTATGGATTTTGTACATTATTCAGAACAGACCTGTTTTCAAACCGTAATAATATCATAAGTAATTAAGCACATTGGATAGAAAAAATAAGAGTATAGAATTTGGTCACGGATAATTATTTAAATCAAATTAATCGGAAGCCGAATTTTCCAAATCGTTAAATCGCGTTTGGAGATCGACGTCTAAATCGAAGACAGCGTTGATTTTTTCGATCAACACTCCCACGTGGTTCATTCCTCGAGCAACGCCACTAAGAATAGGTTCGAATTGCCACGAATTCTTTTCATTTTGTTTCCGTACGCATCCAGAGATGTTGGATATTCTCCGATCGCATTGGTCGACGAAAGCGCCCAACCGTTTAACGTTGCTTTTTATTTTCAAAAATACGGATGCGTCCGACTTGCGAATAGACAGCCGACACATGGCCACTAATAGCGACCCCATGCTTTCGATGGTCTGAAAAATGCCGGCGGCGCATTGTTGAAGAAATTGTACCGCTTCCCCGCATTCTTCAGATTCGTTTGTTCTCCCTTTCGCTTCAAAATCATTTGAAAGATGGCTTTCGTTCTTCTTTGGTTGGACGAAATCGGGACTTTTTTTCTCCGCCGAAACCGAAGAAACTTCTGAATTTTCTTTATCGGTTTCGCTCATCAACGAAGCAGAATTTACTAAAAATACTGTGTGTAGTGATTGTGTCGACGAGATAACAATACGTAATTCAACAATTTAATAAATTATTACGATCTATGGATATAAAAGGAATTTTTGCGTTAACTTCGTACAGGTTAATTTAAACACTTTAACAAACGTTTTTTAATTACCAGTTAATAACGTTCACGCGGTAGTATAGTTAATGATGCAGTTGTAAAAGCCGCTGGAGGTATAATATGCGAGACAACTTATAAAAAGTAGAGAATACCCATCATGCGGAATAAAATGAAAACATTATTTCTTAGCTTTCGTGGAAAAATCTTTTATAGAGGAAAAGAGAATTATTTTCTTCTGCTATTAGAACAAACTTTGACCTTGTATTGTAAGAAAATGGAAATTGTTTACTTAGGTTGTGTGAATGATAAAAGTTTATTCTGGATATATTAAAAATTAACAAAGATACTGTAAATTCGGCTCAATGCAATTCATTTTAATCGAATTTAAAATTTTCTGATTTACTTAAACTTTCGAGCGACAGAGCACTAAAATAGTCTTTCGAAAAAATTCACTTCCAGAATTTTGGCTTTTAGTTCGAAGCGAGCGTACAGAAATTACAAAACGTGCTCTGGATGTGCTCCTTCAATTTCCAACGAGCTACCTGTACGAACTTGGATTTTTGGCCATGTTTGCAGATAGAACGAAATACAGAAATCTGCTTAATGTGGGAAATGACATGCGCGAAGGACTGACCGAGTTAGAACCAAACATCGATCGTTTGTGCAATTCAAAACAAGCTCAAATTTCACATTGATATTTACAGTTTATGAAAGTATGCAAAGGAATTTTTAAATTTACATTATCGTAACTTAATTCAGAAGGAATAAATTTCTGAAAAAGTTTTCCAGAATCGCGTTTAGAGAAATGCGATGATCTCTCGAGACGTATACATATGATTAGCCAATCAGCGACCGGCTTGTGAGAGACGACGACCAGAATATGGCCCCAGGGCTCCAGATGCTGAATTATCTCTTGACATTAAGGATATGAAAAATGATGTGGAACGTAAAAGGCGGCAAACAACTGAATATCTCACATCAGCAGGAAGAGGAAAAACAAAGTTAATGATAAATACATATTTTACCTATTTTATATGTGCCAAATGTATAGGTAGCTATATCTGTATTTTTATTAGAGAAATTGTTATTTTTGCTTCATATTTTCAATCAAACTTTACCGATATCATTTAATTTGTAATAAAAGAAAATAAATATTGAATGCACAGCAATAAACACTTGTGCCTATGCCAGGAGAGACGCTGTTGCACGCGAATCCCGATAGGGGAGTAATACTGTAGAAAATGTTGGAAACCGCTGAGTCATAAAAGCAAGTTGCTAACAGCTATTGTTAAAGTTACACAACATATTTAAATAACTGGCTACTTAGTATTAATAAATATTAATATCATATGTAATATTATATTAATAAATTTTTGTCAATTAATTTAACAGTCACTAACTTCTGAATCGTTAGTCCTGTCGTTGATTTGTCGGGCGGTCGATTTTCTTTAACACAAAAAGTACAGGAAGTTGATCATCGGTGGCTGGCTGTGCCGAGAAGCCTGTTCGGAAACCGAATTGTTCGTAAACGGGGGCGTTAATAACTCGAGGATTGATTGTATTGATATTTATCTGACTTGTTGGAAAGTTAAGAATGGCAGACGTAAAAAATATTTGTAACTAATATAGTAATACTTATAGCATTAATGTCCAATGAAATTTTAATTGGGCTGCAATTTTAAAAAACTGTAGACCTATAAATTTCCAGTGTCGTCTGTCCCTCTATCTTTCCTTAATCTCGAGAACAGTTAGATAGATGAAATATGAGACCGAATGTGGAAAATTTAGGGAAAGGAGGCCCCAATTAACTATATATAAATTTTTGTCTAGACCGGAAGTCATGTTATTTTAATTCAAAAATTTTTTCCTCTATGGAGTTACATAGATCATCAGCATGACTGTTGTTATCAGGAAAAGTATGATGTACAGAGACAAGACGAATAATGTGGATCGCATATATTTTACATTAAATAAATTAAAAATATGATTAAAAGTTGCAGCTCGGCATTGTTACTATGTCACAATAAATAATTGCTCGTTTTATATCAATTATTTTAGAAAATTTCACTTCTAAACAAGCTCACTTTTCCTCCAGTTTTTCTCATTACGTACAGTACTTATAGTGTACTGTAGTGAACTATTTGATTTCCAGACACACGAGGTACCCGCAAACTAATTCTAAACGATCGATTTCGATAAGCAAAATCAGCTTATTCTTACGACCAAATTTGTAATAATCGAATTTCCATTTGTACTGTTGACTTCTCCATGCGTAATTCTATCCTTTCAGTCATTTCTTTGATCTCAGTTTTTATTTTTGACTCGCCGATTTATTTCATCTGTTTTTTGAGGATTATCATCATCATTATCCTTTTTCTCATTTAATTTTTTTCAGTTGCCACGTCTAGGATCTCATTTTCTTTCAATTTTTCTAAAACTTTCATTCACTTTTAACTGACTGATTTTTAACCTTTGACTTCTAATTGAGAGTATCTATGTTTTTTATAATTGAGATTATTTATGGTATATGACATATAACCTATTTTCCGAATGAGTAGTGCACATCTTCTACTTTTTATAATAACATTTAACATTTGTGAGAACTTATTAGCATTATTAAAATCTTAATATAATTTTCTTTGGCTTTTAAATTTCAATTAGATCGAAAGAACAAATAAATTTTTTTACTGATTGAAATATGCTCTTACAAATTCGACAACGTTTACGCCTTTAAAATTTTCTCTTTCGGAAACAAGCTGTGGGTTACGATTGACAAAATAACAAAGCAAATGTCATTTAAATTATCTCTATCGTTTACATCCTTAATTCTTTATTCAAAGTATGTCCGAAATCGGAATTTGTTTACTTTTCCAAAGAAATATTCGCACAAAACTGTTTTAGGTATTTAACAAACGATACTTTTATGTACTACGGAATGGCACATAAGTCGCTTTACCATTTCAAACTTAAATAAATTATTTGTTTGTTAATTATTGAGCTGCAATTTTCATATTGCAGGCCTATACATTCCCACTGTCATCCATTTGTCAGTCCATCCTTCGTTAATCTCGAGAAAGGAATTAGATAGATGAAAATCGATACCAGATATGGAGAGCTTATTTTCAAATTAAAATGTGATCAAAAATTGCAACCTGGCAATGGTAACGATTTCACAGTAAGTAATTTATTTCTTATATAATAAAGTACAGAAAATGGAAATTTTCTTAACTATATATTAAAGATGACGTCAAGTAAATGATCTGCACTTTTTGCTTCTCAAGCATGAGATCTTTCTATCTCATTTTCCGTAACAACTCTTAAAGCGTTGGAATTTCTTCCCAAGTGTTGTGTTTAAGATGCTGTTAAGTCATGGATTTATTCTCATACATCCGATCATTTGGGTAACACCAAAGAAAATAGCTTGCTGCTTTGAAACTCAGCGCGTGTTGGCGTTGCAACTATGAAGTACTGATTCTGGAAATAAACTTTAATAATTTTTATATTGCGTAATGAATTTATATAATAAATTTTCAAAATCTTAAACAAAAATTTAAATATATATAACAGCAAATTAGTTTATTATAAAAAGCTTCACGGGTGAATTTCCAATTAGACAATTAATATAATGTAGTTTAAGTGACCAGTATCTATTGTTTTTAAAAAGTTTTAAATGAGTAACAAAAGATAAACAACTTATTTAGTTTATATAAAAATACTATTATGCAGTTTTGTAAAATCGTAGGTTACTTAAAAAACTATATAAGGAAAGTTTTAATTTACAATTTTTATGAAATTTGTTTGCTCCAACTGAAGAGGGATCAAAAAACCCAAAATGTACATTTTGGAGTTAATTAAAAGAATAAAAAATTACTAATGTGGTCAACTTTTTGATTGTGTTGTGATAAGTCCTCATTAATAGCCAAACTGTAGTTATATTGATAGGAGAGCGAATTAGTAGTTATATTTTTAAATGGTAAAGCGACTTATCGGTCACCCTATATATTGAAAATAATTATTTGCATATGTCATATTGTTACATTTTAATTTATTTCTTTTATTTTAATAATTTATTTTGAAATATTAATAAAATTTCGGATTATAGGAGCATTGATTACAACTTATTGGGAATTTTGGAACATTGATTACCAACTCAAATTATAATAATTGTCTGATATAGGATTCCACATCCGAAACGCTCACCAGTGACCGAGTGGATAAAATCATGAATACCGGTTGCGGTTTGGTGCCTCACCAACCACTAAACCAATTTGGAGTTTTCCGAGTTATCTTCACGTGTCGAACACCTAATTAGATAACAATTTTCCATAGAAAGTCCTCCGGGAGGCATCTCTCCTTGATGGATCGCCCACGTGTTGCATCGCCACAACCCATCAAATCAATCGCATCAGTTTTAAAGCAACCATTCCTCTACCTTTATACGATATTGTAAGAATAACAGAAGATGTACGAAACAATAAAATTCGGTAGTAAAATTATTAAATATACCCACTAGTATTATCAACGACGATAGAACTAATACCATTATAAACAAGTAATAAGTTATTTGAAGAAATGTCTATTTAAGTTTATATTATACTTACGCACAGTTGAAGAAATATAGTTTGTGCCATTTATTCTTCTCGTTGGGCTAATCTTAAAAACTTTAAAATCTTAAATGTGTAAAGATTTTCAAAGAATTAATTATTCATTTTGCTGTTTTACTGATGTATTTTACGTAAAATAATATATATAAAAAAAGAAACCAGCAACGAGTTGCTTAACTTTTCCAGCAACATGTAAAATTTTGGTGTCACCATCTGATACCATATTTTATTAAAAAACTTTTTATACATTTAACTATTGCAAATAGCAAAAAGCCTACTTTTCAGGGTAGGAATGGGTTTTTATGAAAAATTGTAAATGCTAATAACCGGTAAAATCGTCATTAATTAAGTCCGATCCTACTAGAGATACAGACGACTCCCATGACGATCTTAATCACCAAAATTTAATAGCATCAATTCCCCTAATAAACAAACATCCACGCAAAATTTCAGAAATTTTCTACAACAAGTACAGGAATTATTAAGCTTCAAACAGGTTGAACAAAATCGAGCCACACAAACACACACTAAAATCCATACATACATTAATTACCCCCGAAGTTTTTTTCATTTTTCGACATTTCGAGGTGTCTTGAGTTGAAAAATGTAAAAATCTTGGTGTGTTATTTTTTGAGCGATCGCTCTGTTATAGCAGCCGGGAAAGTAAAAAGTAAACGCCACTGACAAAAACAATGATGATAACAAATACGTTGGTAGCAATTAATCACTGCGTAATGGACTTTAACGATAAACTATTTCAAAATATTCGATATTAATATTAAATAATTTGCATTACAGAAAAATGGTCACGCTGCAAAGTATCCAAATTGATTGATTACTCGACACGTGAGCTAAGATAATCATTTTTGTGACTCGACTGTTTAATTGGACATTTATAAAATTAGCGGACGTCCTAATTGTATCAATTATAACGTCATTTATTTTACTACTTAATAGTTAAAAATATTCTTTGTTAGAAATTTATAACAAGTATTAATCGTAGTTTTCTTGGTATTTGAAAGCAGTCTTATTCTAATATTGTATAACGATGTAATATCATAATTTATTGAATTCCGTTTAATTTGAAAAATTATAAAGATAATTGTGGACGAAATTATTTCACCCAAAGTCGTATTCGGCCATTGCGATAAAATGTGCAGGTGCTATCGGAAACACTGATTTTTCTGCACACTTTAGCATATAATTTGAGTATTACATTGGAAAATGCCATAACTTCACTGGACCTTACTTTTATAATTCATTAAACAAACAGTAGAAATGTATTCGTGTTATTCGAGAATAATTATAATCTCTTCTCTTTCTTATATCCAGTCTTATTCTAATTTATTAGGCCTATATAATTAAGTAAAGTAAGCTTGAAATAAAAAAATTTCATATTATACATACGGCATTGCTGTCAACAAAATCACTCAAGCTGGAGAGATTGGTGCAGAAGAGCCAAACAAAGCAGGGATTCACTGGTTCTCCTTGAATGGGGCTAATCTCATTTCGTAACTGCATTCATTTGTTAAAAGAAGCGTTTCGTATTGTGCCAGGATTAAACTGTTCTGTAAATCAATTATATAATTTTTTTCTTAATGCGTGAATTATTCTCCAAGTTATCTCGTACTTCCAAAAATGTTACCTTATCTGCATTATTACTATAAATGATAATTCGAAAAGACTTGTAGCTCCAGAATTAATACTCGTATTCAAATGGTGAGGTTAGGACTCAGAAAGTGATAAACAGATAATGTAAAAAATGACTTCGTAATATCACTTATAATATGGAAAATGATGAAATTCATCTTTCTGTTTTCAGTCTACCTTAATTTAATATCTACTTTATACAAAATATTTTCTGTTATATTTAAAAAAATTAGATTCGATCACCAGATAGTTTCGTCACGGCTACGCACTCGCGATATAATACAATTATTACATAATTTGTAGGATAATCAATGTTAAATTTGAGTCTATGGCTTGTAAGTTATTACAGAAATTCCGTATTTACATTATAGAGAAGTCGAAAAATGAGCAAAGAAATCCGCACGAAGATTATTTTCTATGTGACATTTTGTCTGGCTTAACGAGCAGCCACTGGAGACGGGCCTATACAAATCATAACTTTTATTCATAAATAAATATTTAATCGCTTACGACATTTATCGCATCCATAATTGGATGTAATAAACATTTTCCGGGAGACCGGATAAAATAATTCTCCGGCTTTTTTTTAATCGAAATTTCCGTAAGTTTGGCGATAAGAAACCAAACGTTTTTCGAACTTTTCGGACTGATGGGAAACGAAAAAATACTTTTTCCTCGAATTTTTCGTCAAATTCTATTCATGTTAATAGCTTTATCGGTTAACAATGCGACAAAACCACGGAAGCGATTAAAGTGCACGTAGTACTACTAGATTGAAGCACATGGCAATTTATTTTTTGCATTGACTCCTTTTAAAAACTGATTACAAAAATTCGTTGTCTTATTCTCTAGAAGAGAAGGAAAAATAATTTTTATTGTACAAGACTCCTGATGCAGAAAGTCGTTATGAATTAACTAATTAACTTACAATAGTTAAAATTTAAATATGTATTATTGTCACAATACTAGACGAAGAAAGAAAGCTTTTTTCTCAAATATTAATATAATCAAAATTTAACACAAATAGACTTTATTACACATACGTAAAATATCATTACAGTGAAAGGGTTATCACATACATTAAACTATTAATCTATATCTTCTTCTATATATATAAATGAAAATGTTTGTTTGTTCGTTCGCTATACACTCCTAGGCAGTTAGACCAATTGCTACGAAACTCGGTAGTTACGTTCAAATACATTTAACTTAGATCATGTCGTACATCCCATCCCAAAATATCTATGAGACTTCTATAAATCAATTCATTTTCATCTAGATTAGATTTGCAGATCTACACGTAGCGCCACCTATTGGCAAATTTTTTTAAATCATAAACTAAATATAATTCTTATAAAAAAGGATATAATTTTAAAATATATATACAGTACTATATTAACGTAATTACCGCGATAATGATATAGACGCACTATATAATTACTGCGACAGGCATACAAGGTATAGCACTTGCTTGCTTGAAATCGAAAATGTTAAGCCGAATGCACACATACGGCGCGGCAAAGAAAAGCGGCAGGATGACGTCACTTTTTCTCGCCGCAGAAGTCAATTTTGTGCCGCTTTTCTAGTGCCGCAAAAATTGGTTGAATTTTATCTTTTGCGGCAACCGCCGCCAAGACGCGTTTCTATCAGCCAATAACAGTTCGTCTGGTAGTCACGTGAGAAAATACAATCACGTGGTGTTTTAATGGCGGAAAGTTCGACACGGTTAGCTGAGATAACTAACATCAGAATAAAGGAGGATGCACACATGCGGCGCGGCAAGGAAAAGCGGTGTCGCAAACGCGTCTTCGCCGCGCGGCAGCACGACCACACAAGCGGCAAACGCAAATCTCTCTACATTTCGGCGCAAGCGCAAAATATTCAAGATGGCGGGTGATTCTAATTCTGCTGCTCTTCTTATGTTTACAAATTTCGTTTTGTATACTTCACTTTATGTCTCTAGAAGACGTCGACGAAGAAGATTTGACCGGAGATTTTGGATCAGAGAGATTTTCTTAGATCGAGAGAGAACTGGTGTACAAAATACACTTATTCCTCGTCTAAGATCTTTCGACAAGGAATATTACTTCGAGTAAGATTAGTTTGTTTTGACTTTTGACTTAAATTATATATGATTGCTTGTGTTAAATTTATTATTTTGTTATAGTTTCCTCAGGATGTCTCCCGAAAAGTTTGACGAACTATTAAATAAACTTGGACCGAAGATAACTAGGCAAAATACCAGATGGAGAGACGCAATACCTGCGAGTGATAGACTTGCTGTAACATTGAGGTAAATGTAGCAAACAAAATGGCAGTTAATGTCGAATATAAAAATATTTACTTACAATAAGTCAAGTTAGTAAATTAATATTATCTTTGTGGTGTTAGTTGAGACACTATAAAATTTATATATAACAAACCTAAATTCTAATTGCAATATTATAATATATACACACAGTAGGCTATATATAAGTTTNCATTCTGATTGAGGCATGGTTTCTGGTATATTCGAGCATGTTCTACAAGATAAACAATATTTAGTTTTAATGAACACAAAATATATTAAAATAGTGTTAACTTGTTAATACTTTCTTACTCTAAGTGTTCATTTCTCAATCCGCCTTTTAGCATATTATCCAGTAAGTCGAAATACTTCCAATTTGTCTTGTAAATTTCAGAAGTAGCTGCACCACTTCTTTTCGACTTACTTATATTGTTCTTTAACTTTGTATACCTATCTTTCAAATTTTTCCATTTTTTTATGGCTTCATCAGCTAGAAAATACAACATTGTAAACGACTATATATAAAAGTTTCTATTAAAAATTTTATGTACTTACCCGAAATATTAAAAGCAGTTCCTATTGCCGTCCAATAAGTGTATTTAAAAGAAACATCTTTAAATTCCTTTCTGCTTTTATCGTATAGGAAAGGATAATTTTCGACCATTCCAATAAATGCCTCCGTATCGAATGCCATATCTTTTCTGTTTCTTCTGTACGTTTTCACAATGAACTTTGTTGAACCGTCCGCCATTAAAACACCACGTGGTTCTATTTTATCACGTGACTGTCAGACGAACTGTTATTGGCTGATAGAAACGCGTCTTGGCGGCGGTTGCCGCAAAAGATAAAATTCAACCAACTTTTGCGGCACGAGAAAAGCGGCACAAAATCGACTTCTGCGGCGAGAAAAAGTGACGTCATCCTGCCGCTTTTCCTTGCCGCGCCGCATGTGTGCATCCTCCTTTAAGAGGAAAGATAATAAATTTAACACAAATTCTACACAAATAATCATATATAATTTAATTCAAACAACAAAACAACCGAATCTTACTCGAAATAGTATTCTTTATCGAGGAATAAGCGTATTTTGTACAACAGTTCTTTATCGATCCAAGAAAATATCTCTAATGCAAAATCTTCGTTCGAATCATCTAACTAAATAAAGCAAGCTGTACAAAACAAAATTTGTAAACACGTGGATAGCGACAATATCGGCATCGTTCGCCATCTTGAATTCTGAACGCATGCGCCGAAATTTAAGCGGATTGCCGCTTGTGTGGCTGTGCTGCCGCGCGGCGAAGATGCGTTTGCGACATCGCTTTTTCTTGCCGCGCCGCATGTGTGCATCTGGCTTTACGCTGTGAAAAGTCTAACTTTCCACATCTAACGACTCGGAGTTTTTCATTTCCGAACGGTACTTTCTTAATTAATTCTAATAAGCGCTCTCCAGTAGCTGAGTGCATTAAACAACTGAACTCAGGTAGTTAGTCGCGGGTTCGGGCATGCCCAAGGGCTGGCCACATGGATTTTTCCGGGTTTTCTTCACCTAAATAGGGTCCAGCTTCCCAGTCTTTCCGGAATGCATCTCCCCGGCAGGTCGCTCACGTGTCGCGTTGCGTAACCAAATAAACTAAACTAATTCTAACGAGCGATTATTTATTGTAACATCATCACAATGCCGGTCTTCTATTCCTCACAATGTTTTCAATTGTTTAGTGGTGGTTTGCCCCTGTACATCATACTTTTCCTGTTAGCAATAGAGTGGTGCCGGTCATCTATTAACTCTGTTCGGGAGAATTTTGAATCCAAGTAACGTGACATCTATTCCAAACCTGAAGTTCCTATATATCGTAGTTAATCTGGGCCTCCTGCCCCTAAGCTTTCTACATCTGGTTTCGACTTTCATCTACCTAACTTTTTTTTTTAATCGAGATTAAGGAAGAACAGTCATATAGAGGGATAACAGTCGAAATTTATATGTCTAGAATTTTTTCAAATTGCAGTTCAATAATTTTTCTATAAACACGATATTTACGAGAAAATACTTCTCACATAGTTTATACAATCTGTTGCAAAAATATAAACACTTTATTGTAACATAAAATACTTAATTAATACCCAGCTAGATGCTTTTTAACCCAAGAAAAAACACCTTATCTCACCGAGAATTATGTAGTAATTGTAACGAACGTTTTCAACCTGTTCTATAGGCCATCTTCAGGTATTTAATAATCACGGAATATTGATAACTTTTTTTGTATAGAACAGTTAAAAACACATTTAAAATACAAAATTCTTTGGAATTACTGTAATTTATTCTTTGGATTCAAATAGCTCAATATTCCAAAGAATTGTATATATATATATATATATATACATATTTACATATACATATACAATTTAAAATAAGAAAATAATAAAATAGAAAAAAAGTTAGTTAAAGGTTGAAAACGTTCGTTACGGTTAATAAATAAATTTCAGTGAGATAAGGTGATTTTGCGTTATATAACATAGAAGCAATTATTCTCACAGTTTTACAAGATTTTTTTTATTTAAACAAGTCATACGAAGTCTTTCGAACATTAAGGTTAGCAACTTCGATCACAAGCGGATCCATCATAACCCGTCTAACACGGATCACTTTTCAAATACTAATAGTAGACCAGTATTAATTAGCAGTAAGTTCAACGACTACTTTCGCCCGAATTACTTCGACCCCTTTCGCAACTGTCCTTTCTTGCTATCGGACAAGCGGTATAGTGGCATTGGAATTACAAAATCCAAAATACGAGGTTACTGGGCTGCACAAAATGTTTTAAGTGGTTTTCGAGGTGCCCAGTTTAAATATTTTGTCCGTTTTTCGCGAAATTTGATTCGTTGTCAGATGACCGTTTGATATTCGGCTGTGAATGGAACAGTTTCTTAGAGGTAACGTTAGAAAAAATTTAAGATACCACATTTTCAATTGGTGTCTACTTGATCAATGAAATTGTGCCATTTCGTATCGTTCGAGTATCGTGGTAAACGTGACTATGGTGAACTAAAAAACCAACCTCTTTATATGGTTTTTGTTTTAATATTTATTATATTATATAAGGGTTTATCGCACCGAGTGATCAGTCTAATATATTTTTAAAATAATTTATTCCTGTACTACACAATTTAAAAAATTTTTAAAATGCGTGACATTAGGCTCCTGTGTTTAAAACCCTTACGTAAGATAACATTGGTAGTTATATAAATCAAATATTGTAATATAATATAATAGAAGGGTTAGAAGTACAAAAGAATCTAATAATCTTAATGTTTGTTGTTATTTTTTATCCGAGCAACGCCTGGCTTATCTGCTAGTTACTTATATACTGTATCCCTAAACCTTTTCATTGTAATAATATTCTACGTATGTCAAATAAAGTATAATTGTATTAAATATATTTAAAAAGAAATTAAAAGCTTATTGTTAATAAGCAAAATTATTTTGTCAATTTTATGCTAAACTTTACACACTGAGGAGTGTAGGGTCCGACTCCACATTATCCGATAATGCAACCGAAACGAAAAACCGAAACCGAAAATGATCTCAAGTTCTCCCCCCCGCTTTCAGTTCGAAAATGCGATACCAAAGTCAAAGCTACCAAAATATCTTCCATTTTGGAAAAATCATCTTCGAATAGTTCTGTCATAATTTTCAAATTATAAAAAATATCCAAAGAAAAAAATCGAAGAACAAAAGATTATAATATTTCTGAAAAATGTTATTTTAGAAATTTTCAAAAAATTTATCACATTTACAGGTAAGGTTGTACTGTACTTTCCACATTTAATAAGGATCTATAAAATGTCTTCTACGGTGTAATGTTTAAGCAGGATGGAAATCCGATCGCTGGTTATTTAATCATTTCCTCCACAACAAAACACAGTTTATAGGAATTAATGTTTAAGACTAAAAGCTGCGATCGCAAGATTTAATTTTTAATGCCAAATTTAATAAAATTTTGAAAAACAATATTAAAATTTTGCTGGGAGAACAACGACAATGTTTGGCTTTAGATCATCGGATTTCGAGGGAGAAACAAATCTATAGCGCTCAGAAGATCTCGAAATTTTTGCACTCCGTCGGAGATTTCGGTCGGGACCACTTCCGACCGAAAAACTTCTTTGGTTTCTTCATCCTGAAGAGAGTTAACATCCGAAAATTTATCGACCAGTTTGTTCAAGGAGGTTTCAAGATGCTTTGCCCGGTTTCTGACGTTATCGTACGACTCCGGGTTTTGATTATCCGGGTTGGTCGTTCGCAGTAATTCGATCACTAGCGATCCCACTTCCTCGATCACTCGAAAGACGTCGTCCGAACACTGTCGCAGCATCTCCAATTCTCTGTCCACACCACAGAGAGGCGTTTCTCCCCCTCTATCACTTTTTTGCCAATTGTCGCTGAGCCAGTTAGGATCCAATTTTTTCTCCTTTGATTTCTCTTCTTCTCCCGACATTTTTCTTATTCGAGGAATTGCTAAACAGATTTATAACAAAACGACAATAACAATCACCTTCCAATCGCGACAATGTATACGATTGTTTCCGTTCCAATTTCATTGTTGTGTTCGTAATTTATGTATTTCGTATTTAAAATCGTAGATTGTAATTTGGATATCCGTGTTTAAAAACGTTAGGAGTGTGAAAATATAACCAATTTTTCTTGAAAATGGCATCATCTGTTTTATTCGTATCTTCTCTTCATTCCCGCTCGCCCCACGCTTACAAAGTCCAAATTACTGCTATTTTTAACAATTTTACTTACTCTATCGATTTTTAAAAAAGTACTTTGACAAAAATTTCAACAATCGATCCGAATTTATAAGCGAAAATATTAATGACGATCCTTTGTAGAATGCTTTATCACGTTTATCGGTCATCGTTTATTGCGGCTTCGTTTCATAAATTATCAAAATATTTTCATAAATCTTCGTAACGCTAGTTTTAGAAAATAGAAAAATAATAGAACGAGCAAGAATTCGTGTCTACGCAAACATTGTTCGTCGATAACATCGAAAATATGGCGAATGTCCGCTTATTATAATTCTTAAGAAGCGTCGTGAATTTTTATTTATGATTTACGTAGAAACACAAAATATTGGCAATGCCGTAACTCTAATTTCGCTTCTATGGTAATCTAACAATTTAACTTTTATTATTATAACTTGTAAAACAATACATACATACAATAATCTTCCATACCATTTGCACTTTGCTCTTCCTGTTTAGCGTTCTTTCCGTTTTCCATCCCATCGTGATGTCTTTCCCGTTACGTTTCCGGTTATATGATCAAAATACAAAACGGTATATTGAAAACAGAAAACTGATAGTTTAACTGTGGAAGAATTTTATCGGTCCACCGAGAATCGGTATAGTTTTGCAGCAATTCGCCGTACAACATATCGAAAACAAGCACGGAGGGATATTTTTTAATCGTTTTTCCCCTCGACGGCTACTGTTATAAATTTTGCGTATCGTTCAGTTTAAACTGAGATAGCGACAATTCCGGAAAATGTATAACATAATAAATCCATTAAATTTAAAATCGTTGGCGCAAAAATACCTCGTGTAAATACCGAACGTGTTTCGATATTGCATTATTAGCGGAAAAACATGGTGTTCTTGTTTATGGCAGTTTATAATAGGAAATTAAATAAGTGGACGAATGACAGGAAAAATTCCTTCCATCTTTGTTGCAGCTACAAACTAAAATTAATTAAAGATTAGGGATGTACGAAAAACAAAAGTGATAGGAAAATCGAATCTAAGACGATGGACAAATCGGTAGAAGACTCGGACAAGTAAATTATGTCGGCAGCTTATGAAAATTTGAAATTTTATCTTAAATTAAATTAATTAATTGTAACGGAATTTCCCAAGAGACGTATCGAAAATTTTCTCTA